TGCATGCTATGCAGAATGATGAACGATCCTTTCTGCATCCTGCATGAAACGCTGCGCAGGGTACAATGTCAATTTTAGCCGCAGGTATCAAATTTGGCGAGAGATGAGAATACATCGCTTTGAACAAACTGATATCAGACACGTGTATACATATTTACGGCTATAAATATACATAAAATTGTTTTATTTTCAACATAATTCTGTTTAACATAATAAATATATTATTAATTTAATATATTATTATTGTAGTAGTCATATTTTTTTATAAAAAGAAATTCTCTTTTTGACAACCTTCTAAGTCACTGCACTTTACGTTTTACGTTTTAATAACGTGAAAATCTAAAATTGCATATTTCGCGACATCTTTTTTCTTTCCATATTCGCCATTATAGTTGAACGCAACTAGTGCCTCGTGGTAGACAGCGTTGTTTCTTTGTGTGGGAGAATCTTCATGAATAATATTACACGTAGTTGTTACAGGTGTATACACCAACCTAGCGTCGCTCATATCGCACGTCCGAATACACCTCTCATTTAGCTGCGTGTAAATTAACAGGATAGCGGGATGCAGCGTCAGAAATAACGAGGCGGAGTAGCGTTAGTTGCATCAGCTGCTGCGTCCTACAATGAGAGGACCCACCTGAGCATTCTGTCTAGTTGAATTCAATTAAGGAGGCTGCTCGAACGGAACTCGTTCCAAATATCCCGTCAGAACGTTCAGAGAATATTTCTCGCGTTTCTCTCGGCTAAAAGGCACGATTAAAAAACGAGGAGAGCAGAGCGTCTAAGGGGAAAATCTCGCTGATGAAGGCAATAATGGTGGCGGACCAGGGAGACCGGACTAAATGAAATTAAAGCCTGCTGTTTTCATATCTGACCTGAAAACCCTGACAGATTTTCTCGCAATTTTATACGTTGATCATTTGATCACCCGTTTGTTTTTTTATCAAATAATTTTTTATCGAATAATTTTTCTTAGTGTACGAAATGACGATAACAGAATTCAACGGCTATCTCACGTGAGCGCCGTTTGCAAATAATAACGTACGTAAGTCGGATCCATGTCGGATGTGAGCACACGTTCAGCACTTTTCCACTACGACACATAATGCACAAAACCTTTCGCCTCTCTCGGCCGCCACTTTCGCGGGAAGTGCGCGGCCCATAAATCCGTCTCGCGGCGAAACCCACCTGCCGGGGGTTTATAGCTAATAAACGCAAATACCTACCGCGCTCTTATGCGGAATACATAAAATATTGATACACATTAACCATCCAAACGACACCGGCGGCGACGGTGTCGTCATGAGAAACGATAGCGATTCGATGACGCGAGCCCACCCGTGACTACGTAATAATTTTAATAACTTCAACGCGGAAAATAGATCATACGCTCGTCCATTCGATATAATAACAGAATTGCATTTACTTGAAATAAAGAATTTAATCTTCTGTAGTGACATCTCTCGTGTTTTTTCATGTAATATTGTGTGATATTATTAGGATATTAAATTCATTATCAGCGTATATTAAAGAAACTATATTAGTTTTATTAGATATGTATTTGTGTATTATGAGATGTTATTAAAATAAATATAACTTTGCTTACCTGTTTTTTATATAGCTTCCCCTAGCATTTTTCGGTGTTGCGTGTTTTCACCTTATTTCCCGCACTGCGTTTACCACTATATTTTATTTCGTCGTACAGACTTTCCCTCATAACTATTAAGACCTATTAAAGAGTTCGCGATAACACGGAACGCTATCTCGCAATAATAATACACCAAGCTTCATAAATATCAAGTCATCGCCATTGAGAAACAGAGCAGAAACCGCTTGGAAAAAGGTGGATCGTTACGTGAATGAAGTAATTAATTATGTATGATTATGTATTTAAGTGACGTACACTTTATTACGAAATTAAAAAATTCCGTTTACGTCATACAGACGAGACCTATATTGAGGCATATTTGCCGTAAAAATGTTCGTTTTCTCGCATGAAAAGACCGCGAGAAAATATTTTTTTGATTAATAAAGATTAATAAACAAAAAATGCGGAATGTTGTATGCACGCTAAACGATATTTCGCGATACTCCGGTCTCCTTTCCGAGTGATGTAGGTTGATTTCTTCGTTCAGTAGCTTACAAATATGACGTATTTTATTTCATAGCACCTATCAGCAAATATTTTAGACAGACCTCCTTCAAAGTACGAATCCACGTAGTCGCTGTCGACAGTATCGGGAAGATACCGTGCTTGACAGATCGTGACAGGTGCGCGCGACACCATTCAGCATTGGACCAAACTGAAGAGCAAAATGAGAAAAGCAAGAGAAGCGTTCTATTCATGTTAAGTGTCACGTTACGATCTCGGATAAGCGCATCGGTACTTCGCTCGCTAAAATGAAAGTGAACAATCCGATATCCACGTGTTTCATTGACAATACAGCAATTAGCATAGTGTTATGTACGACCGCGCGAAGGAAAGAGAAAGCTCATGTCTTTCCTGCTTCTCGTGACGTAAATCAGGAAGCGAAATTTCGCGCCCTGTGGTAGAAAACTTTCAGGACGTTGGTCGCTAGATTTGAACATCCACGGACTAATTGAGGCTTTCTTAATCATACCGCAGACACAATGTGGCTGCAACATAATTTTAGTGGTTACGCATGATTTAATTATGAGAATCTCGTAGCACGCGCGCGTCTGTAGTGACTTCCTCGAAAAATAACTATAATGACTCGGTAAATTAAGTGATGTTTTAGTTACTGTACATGATTATATAAAGCAAAAGAAATTTTCTATGTCTAAAAAACGCAACAATCAATTCGCAGTGGTGTCACGTCCAACGCGTCAATAAATGGTTACAACGTTGTTATAATAATTTGTAACAACGTTACTCTATTGTCACCTCATTCTAGTCCAATTATGATACGATCGTTTGAACACTGACCTCCTTGATACCTTCGCAATCTCGCGTTTCGTCGCGCTCTCACAAAATCGATATTTATGGTAATGTTTATCAACAGGGAAAAAAACTATCGCGTCAGTTTCTTCTTAATATTTAATTGACTGTTGCTCTTTTGGGGTCGGGAAAATCGACAACTTGTTCTTACGGGCAATATTTATTTATCCGATTGAGAGGAGAAGGTCGCTCTTGCAAAATTCTCTCATCTGCATTCTGATTAAATTTTTTTATTCCGCATCAATATTGGTACAGATAAATATAAACGTACAAAAAGTGATCGCTCCCCAATAACACAAAGCTTATGACAAGCAAATAAGCTTTGTCGCGAAGGGGAACGAGTGATGTCAAGACGGCGCTTTGATAACTCGTAATTACCTGAAAAGACTCCGTATCATAATGTGTGTGCGAAACGAGCGTACAGAATGAAGTTTAGCCGTTTTAATTCCTGTTATACACGCGTCCTCCGTAAATTGCTCCTTCAACGTTTCTAATTGCAAATACGCGCGAAAAAACGGGACTGACGTACCTTGATAATATTACTTTCCGAGCCACATAATATCTTCCGTGATAGGCGGCGTATCGCTTATATACTTGGTGCTTAGTGGAGGAAGAAAAAAAGGAGAGGGCGGGCAGGTAGGAAACAAGGGAAGAACAGTGCCGATGAGGAAAAAAGAAGGAGAACTTTGTGTGACGTATACACGAAGGTGGATGATGTACAAGTGTTACGTCGCACGAAACTGCACCGTGCAACCGGCGTATATCTCGTGGTGCATGCAACCCTCCGGTATAGAAGGAAAATAATATATAACGAGCCGAAGTGGAGAGAAAGGCGGGCACAGAAATAAGCGAGAGGCTAGATCTTGCGAGAATCAAGGAGAAAAGTGTACAAACCTCGATGTTTGGTTGCTCCGCGCGTCTGCCATGTCCATTCGTCCGTTCGTTCGTTCGTTCGTTTCGCAATTACGCTCGTGGGCGTTCGCGTCTCTGTCCGGCTGTTGTTTTCGCATGCACTCACGTAAGCGCGTACGTGGGTGCACGCTTCTGCAAAACATTAGCGTTCCCTTCAGTGAAGCGGTCCGTCAATATCTGCTTGACGCACGTTTCGTTGGATTGTGATTCCTACTTTTGTTCGAGCATGATTGACCCTTCACCAGCGATATTAACACATTCCTCTGATAACTTGTGCCTCGCGCAGAAAATGTCAGACTATACTTCATTGATATTTACGATATTGTAATGGACTGACGGTACTTTAATTTGACATTAGCGAAATATAAATGCGTACTTGTAATATCCGACAATAAGAGAAGAATAAAAGAAAAAAACTGTATAGTCTAGCTGTACAAAAAGCAATATTATAAAAAGAAATATAATTTTAACATAATTTTTACTAAAATATTTTTTCCGTATATACCGTCGCGACAATTTGCAAAAAATTTATCAATCCCTGTGGCATCGCGCTGTAGCTTATCGAAACGTCGAGTAGTATTGCTATAAGTTATAATGATAATTAACTAATAATGTTTGCACTAAGGTGACTGTGCATAATCAAGCATTTAATATCACGCTTAAGTGACTATTAATACAGGCACGCTGAATAATATATACGTATATTCACATACTACTTGCAACTATCGATAAACGACAGAAATTCCTGCCTTAATGCGGGTTTCCATGCAAACGATACGATCTTTGAGGGTGGCGTACGCAGACCATGAGAGAGAAACTAGCTCGTCTCGGTCCGCGCTCCGACGTATAACATATTATGTAAAATTGCCGCAATTATACGCGGAAGGTGTGTCTTTGACAATGCAAAGTCGACTATATCAGTATAAATAAGAAAACAGCGTTTTTACCGAGATACCGCGAGATACAATATCTTTGACGCGCGATGTAGTACGTAACGTCGTATTGCTGACTATTCCTCTAATGCAATTAATTTTATTGGAAATCGCAACGTTTCTATATTCAGTTGCGTGATGATGATAAACGATTCACGAAACGTGACACTGCGGAAAAGACAATAACGCCTTACCTCTCTGATGATCTTGCAACTCGTAACGGTGCCAATGTGAGAGAACAGAGCACACAATAAGTCTTCGCACACTACATGATCCAAGTTGCCGACGTACCTAATTTGATATCAGCAAAAAGAACAAGCGTTAATTGCAATAAGAACCTTCATAGAAGTGAGAATCTTTTTGCGATGTATAACAGAACGATAAGATTATCACAATGGTGCATTTAATCTTAGATATAGTTACTCATATTGAACACTACTTTTTTGTATTCCCGAGTTGTGTAAAACGTGTTGAGTCGAACGTGACAGACGTGTCTGTGGAATCGGCATCATTAACGTAAGATATCGATGACGAAAATGCAAGTATTAGACGGCGGCTTGGGATTAATTTGAAATTCGAATTCGATCGCCAAATCTTGATAGTGGTGTAGTCACGAAGCGGCGAGTTGTTCCAGAAAATATAGCGGGAGATGGACACGCGCCAGAAACCCATATGTCCGACAGCCGAATTAGAGCGGAAATAGGCAAAAATCCAAATTTCCGAAATGTATACCATACAGGGCGCGCGACGGTACGTACCGCACGATAAATTCTAAACTCGTAGCTCGGAGCTCGATTTCCGTAATGGAAGAACAATGAAGAGTGCTCCAGGAAACAATACGATAATACGGGCTCGCTGTTACGCGAGCGGAGCGGGAATAGAGCAGTAGTAAATGTCATCGGAGTCGCGCATAAAGTTGCCATTAACTCGTTATACGTATCGCGAAATAAAACGCAGCGCAATACGGACATACATAAACTAAGCCCGGATGATCATAATACTTCTTCGTTTAATCGCTGGGAGAGGAGCTTGATGCGCGGGGCCGAACATTGGGGTTAAATTGGCTGTATAACGTGCTACGTTGAAGAGAACACGCAGACGATACTCTAGAATTTATCCTAAACTGTTAGTCTTATGTTAAGTGCCTATAAGCGTAAAAGGAAAACTATAAATAAGCGAAATGAGCGAAGGTGAAAAATCCGCTGTGAATAAATTTGCAATGTTTCAAATCTTGAAACATTGTTAAAGTATTTATTTTTTCACGAGAGAGAAATATCTTGAAAGTACTTACAGAGTTTTTGGCGTTATATCGTCTGACATATTGACACTTCGAACCACTTCACACCGAACCACTGAGCTCAGCGGCTTCTCGCATACTTGCACGTTAGAAACGAGTAATTTTATTTAAATACGCCTTATGTCGGCCAACTAGAGCATAGAAGGTCTAAAGATCCTAATAGTGGATTTGTGAGTTCTTAGCGCGTGCGTGAATGTCGCAGATTGCCAAAGAGTCTGCCAAAGAAGTGAAGAATGGACGCGGCAAATTTTAATCACGAGTTACTTAATTGAAAGTAAGGCGCTCCCAATATGTTGCTTATAATTTCTTCTCCTTTGTTTGTACAGAGACTCTATTCACTACATACAACACATATGATCTTAAAGAAAAAAACTATAAATGATTTTAAAGCAGCATAAATTTATAAAACACTAGAATACTGAAGAGGAAGATTCAAAACAATAGTTAAATGGAAAACAAAACCTTTGCAATACTTTTAGATAAAAAAATTACATTAACAATCTTTTTCGATTCTATTCAAAGAATGATTTGTTCTCAGACGCCAGCGACCCACTTTTGTTTGTCACACGGTTTCTGCTGTACCTCCAACTTAATGGATATAACCGAGTATGTCTCAATGAAAGCATGCCAACGGTATCTACTTCGTCACGACGCGTCGGCGATCTCTTCAGGAAAACGAAGAAAAATATATCTCACGAAGTTCACCCTGCCACGGCCAGACACTATAAATAATTCGTGAGCAGCTATCGTAAACGTCGTGCAGTTTTTCCAAGGTGTAAATCACTCTTACCGGGGCTCGTTGTAAAATCTTACTCTTACCCCACTTTATGTTACCGCCGTTGAACATAAACGTCTGTCCCGCGATGTACGAGTATTTGCATGTTGAAAAGGAAAACCGAGCTGCGCATCGTGCGCGCACATTGTAGTAAGCAAAGCGTATCGAACTGTCGGACAGCCAGATTTGAATGGCATATTGTATACGGGGATATGTACAATAGCGTTCTAGAATAGCCACTTGTAATACAGCTGATCTCATGTAAATTTAAGAATACACTATTGACGTAAGAATGCGCCGGCGAGATGTGTGTACGTATCTCGGATATTACACTTTATAAGAATAAAAGTTATTCTGAGAAGAGAAAAGTGTGTATATTTCTTTTGTGTAGATTTCAAAGTGACCGCGAATCTTAGAAAATACGAAACACGTATATCTTTATACTTACACGATGCATGAGTATCGAATGTACTAAGGGAGGGAATCCCAATTTGAATATAGTCGATGTCAGTGTCCATGTATAGTTTCTCGATACTTGTTATAATTTGACGAAATTACAAAAAGATTAATGTATAACGTAGCTTTCCGTGTGCATGATTATTTGCGTGACAATATAGGTTCGACCGTACGTATTAAACGCCGTCACGTAAAAGCCGGCACTTAATTTCCCTGCAATTATAGCGTATGCGGGTCACCGTGAAACGTGTGCCGACCGAAAATCCCACGTCGAAAGATTGAAGGAAACATATTTCAAAGTCAGTCCTGGCTGAGATGGTGAGGATATAAAATAGCAGTCGATCAGAAACGTCAACTTTACGGATCGTGCCCACGGCGACCACAGTTGCATGTTGTAAGCGTCGGCCGTGCCTTTCGGAACCGCCGAGAAGCCACGAAGTACCGCGAAAAACTTAGTTTTGCGAGGACGATAAATCATCTTGAAATTCGCCGGGGCTGACAGGCATGTAGTTTTACGAGGGCCTGCACGCAAAATGCAAAGCAGTCTCGAAGCTGGTGGGCTTGCACCGCAATTAATTAGCGTTTCGTGATAGCCGTGCATGTGCCGAAGCGTTCTCTTTTTTTTTTCTAGCCCCGCTAAAGCCGCCCGCGCGCGATAAGGTGCCGCCGTTCGCTGATCCGATTGGACATGTAACACCATTTTAAGGAACATATCGGCACTGCTCGACCGCACGATGTCGCGATTACTGTCCAAGTTTCGCATAATTCCGTCACGTGGCGCAATAGTTAAGTGTATTTTGACGTTCGCTCACGGTATTAATGCTATTAGTATCGATCGAATAATCGATTATACGATTCGCGATAGCGAATGAACGAGCTTATAATCAAATTGTGCGAGGGAATGAAAATTATTTACGAATATTTACGAATAAAAGAATACAGTAATTTATTAAAACACGCACGTATACATGAGAATTCAAATCAATATTCTCACGACTCGTTGAAATACGTATCGTCGAAGTTTATATAATCTACAATTCTCTTAATCGAGTATAGACCGTGTATTTACATGTAATTCCATTCGCATATTTTCATTGCACAATGTCCCTATCCCCTTCAACATTCCACGCACATATTCAATCATACGCTCAAAAATTGTACACGGGCAAAAATTGTACAAGCGCAAACAATACGAATTTGTACTCGATGTTCAAGTGAGAAAGCAGATTGCAAAACGGAATCGTCGATTATTTATAGTTAGAAGTATCAATAAGTCAAGTTCTTATTCACACTCTCTCGTCATTAATATTTAATAACTGATTCTCTCCTATACAAAGCTCTTCGAGACAATAAATCGCATAGGCCGAACTCGTCATAATGTAATTATTATTTCACATATGTATATTGTTGATTAAAAAATATTTAATGGGAAAACCTATAAATAATAAAGAAATACATTGTTTGATTTATCTTTCTGCGTTCGATCTCTTAGTCTTAACTACAACGTTCAAATGCAATTCCAACGTCGGCTCATTGGTTTCGAATACAAATCGAAAATAAGTTGGTCTCTCTCTCTCTTTCTTCCCCTCTCTCTCTCTCTCTCTCTCTCTCTCTCTCTCTCTCTCACACACACAACGCGATTCGATCACTGCGGTACATAGTTCCGAGAAAGGCATCCCATTGATCACGATTTTGGTACAAAACCGGTCTTAGGTGGTGGACCGACAGGTTTGTTGGACATAGGTACTATAGGGTTCATTCCCCTAACAGGTGAGCAGGCTGACGGTGTTTCTACGTTGCTTCTGCTGGGCGAAAAGGCGCCTAAATTCAAAGAGGGCGAAGATGATACTCTCTCAATCGACATGGTCTGCTGAGGAAGCTGCGCATCAGTCTGTATGCCCATGGATTGGTACATTTCCTTTAGCATCAACAGCATAGTATCTTCGGATTCCCTGATATTAAATAAACGTTGATGAGACTAGTGTGCGACACGTATCTTTCGTGAAACGGATGTACTTACCAGTAACAAATGTGACTCGTAAGAGCGAAAATATATTCATTGATGTACTCAAAAGGCGCTTCTTGGAGAACGTAATCTATCCTTCTGCCACCGTTTAGTTTTCCTATTATCACGTCCGCGCTACCGTCATCGTTAATGCATTGCTCCATCTCGTTCTGCGATTGCTGCAACTGCTCTTCAACTACCTTATCGATTTCGTTCGCTAGAGCTTGATTGTCCGGTTTGTAAAACATGGACAGTTGAAAAATGGAATTCCACGTGCTTTTCACAGAATCGAGCACCTTTTGCTTCAAATCCGCTCCGACGCGTGCCATAGTTTCTTTTAATTCTAAATCAAGTCATAAATTGTAACATATAAGTACGTTTTCGAAAATTTAATGGCTTAACTTGCATGTTGCAGTTTCCTGCTCACCTAGATGCATCCTTTTCCTGCCTTTGTGGTGCGGTATCAACATAGGTCGGTACTTGCAGGCTTCGGGATTAATCAAAGATTCCACTCTGTAAGCTACCGGATCGAAGGGATGGAAGATATTGAAGAAAGCCGGACAAGTCGGAAAGACAAAGTCATCCCCAAGAGTTTCGATGCCTCGAACGGTTACGAACATGCCAATAGGACTGCCAAGTGCAAAGAAAGCACGTGGGTGAAAATTGAGTTGCGGATAATGTATGTAAGGTTGTCCCGTTCCTGCCACACCCATTACATAGCTAATCTTTTTGCTGAGACGTCTCTTTAGAATAGGCGCGAGCATTGGTTTAATGGATCCGACACTATCACTTTCCTGTAATAACGACAAATGTTTTCTTGTCTAAGTGCGTAAGTTGTAATTATTGTAAGAAACGTTATAAAGAAAGAAACATTATTGTAAGAAATATTATAAAGTTATTCGTAAAAACTAAAATAAAATAACTAAAATAAAATAAAATAAAATAAGGTCTTAATTTGTGTTAATACACAAATATACTTACTCCTTTATCACCGTCGTCGTTGTCATTTTCCTCTTCGTTTTCCTCTATAATTGGTTTCTGATGGCATAGCAGGTCAAACAGAATTAAACTGCCCAACGAGTGACCGCCTATGTATATTCCTCCGTCAAAAGTCGGGTTTCTTTCTTTGAATAACGCGTGCAACCTGTTCATTTCACCTCCGACCGTATGCATAATGGTTTGACAGTATACGGGACTAGTGTAGAAAAGTATGTCAAGCAAAGTATCATTGGTAAAATGCCGCAGCTTCGGAATACTCTCTAACGTGATAGCTTGCAACTTCTTGTCGATTCCCGTATCGCCGGAATGCAGCGTCGCATGCCAGGAGATTGGCAGAACCTCAATCCTATTTACAATACCTTGTACGCTCGCGGTGCGATAATGAGACTGTACTAGTTGAAGAGATATACTTCGGAACTCATCGACTGCGACAAAAGAATTTATGTAAACGCTCGAATTTTATGTAACCATAATTAAAATATTTTCTAACAACTTACCAACTTCTTCTACGGTGCGGAACTTCAGGTCACAAACACTACCTATACCATGAACGAGGAATAGAAGATGATCTACTTTCTCAGGTTCACCTTCGTCTATATTGAAATCGCTAACTCCCCTTTTAACGACTTTCGGCTTGTTCGCACCCTGTAAATATGTACTGTCCGCTGAATCCTATAGAAATTAGGACGGACCATTTCAAACAAAACCATGCATACGATATTAGGAAAAAAACGCGTACCTTTTTGATTGAGAAAAAAGTTGATTAGACAAGAAATCAAGGTAACTTAAAATAGCAGCATCAATGTATTCTACCAAATAAATATAAGTTTTAAAGAATTTTCATTTTAACGAATCAGTATGCAATAAAACATAACTTTAGCAACGCTGACAATGTAGCATTGTTAATTAAAAAATTTAATTATAAATTACGAAGCAAAAAGCGTTTTTTTAATAAAATGTAATGCGCCATTAGTATAACTTTCAGCATAACTTTGTGTGAAATAAATATTATAATATAACATCAATAAACTTTGTTACATTTATGAGTTGTTTATTTACCGTACTATTCCCCCAAGATTCTGACAAATCGGAAGGATTCGGTTGTGCATAATGAACTTGAACTGTTGCGCTATGGAAGAGAATGTATTCTCCGTTATTCAGTTCAATTCTTCGGTTCCAGTCATTCGTCATGCACGCCAGTTTATATTCCTCCTCAAGTCTCGTGGCAGTTTTTTCCTCGTACGGAACGTATTTGGATTCGACCGGTCCCATATAGAACCAAGAACATCGTCTAACTTCGTTAGACGTTCCGGTCCAATAGACGGGCGCTCTCTGACGACGCATGATGCTGACATCGTAACGGCCGCCATCAGTAGCTACTGTGGTTTCTGTCGTAATTTCGCTAGAATTGTGGACCTCCTCTAACTTTAAGCTGTCCTGCATGGAGAACGGATGCCATAATATTTTGGTTTCCACTTCCTTACGATAGAACCAATGATGATACACTGGCCTGTACTGTACACGTTGCTCAGAAGATCCAGAAGCCTGCAAACATTTCATTTTCATTAATTACATATTGCTGTGTTTCCAGGAAATACGCTGAAATAGGATGAAGCGATAAGAATAATTCTGATTAATCTATTAAATCATTAAATCATCTATTAAATCATCAATTATTCCAATTATTCTATATCCTATTTATTTGCAAAATGAAGTTTTCACATAGAGGATATTTCATGTCTTACCAAGTTCTGGAAACTTGGTGGGATGGTATCTTGTACAGAGCGATTGTTTAGCGGATTGGTCGACATTTGAACAGGACTAAGTGTGGCAGATCCCGTTGGTTCAGGTACTGTTGTCATAGAGACAGGATATGCAGTATTATTTTCGTGAACGCCAGAGAGTTGCTGAGACCCGCTGATACTCTCATAAAGAGGTGCAATTTGACTCGGTTGCTGTTGTGCGGGATGCTGGTTGGGCGTATAGAAAGTCGGCTGTTGGAGTAGTTGACTCTCCGCAAAGTCCGCAGGATTGTAAAATTTAGGGAGTGGTGGTCGGTCGGGCGTCGATTGATTACTGGATGCAGTACTCCGACCGTTCGTCACCGACTGAGCGATGGGTGGATTCAAATTGTTCTCCTGAGATGAGGGAGTCGGAAATCGATCTGCTATTGATTCGAAGTATGCTCTCACGGATTGCTCCGTTGGTCTCGGTGGGACATAAGGAACGTTTTCGTTCGAAGGTTGTACGAACGATACGTCATTCAAACTTGACTTTTGATCCGCTGGTCTATCTGTCTGTTGAAAAATAGAACACGATATAGATGTCGGTTGAGAATAATGTTCAGACGGATATGCGTTCGACTGAGTCACTTGGATATCGGTTACAAAGTTATTATCGGCTTTGTACACTTCCGGACGAGTCACTGATAGCGCCGTCGATTTTTGACCAAGGAACACGTCACTCAAGGTATTACTTGCAGAATGTACGGTTCTTTCCGGAGTGTTGTTTGACTTCGCCTCGTTTGGTCTTTCGATGAAGTCGTTTGCAGCTTGCGGCGTCTCGCTTTGCTGTTCACAGGACTTCGCTAATTCGGTGGTGACGTTGGATGTACTTTCATCAATTTCCGAGGAGGCTTCGGAAGATGTTTCATGTGGAAAGCTTCTTTCGCGTTCTTCAAGTATATGTTTCAATTTCTCTGTCACCTGAGCTGCTGATATGGGTATAAATTTCGCGTCAGTCTCTTCTGAAGTCGATGACAGCTTAATGACAGGTTCTACCGTCGTTTCTGAGATGTCGTCTTTCGCAAAATTCGGCGGCGAATTTAGCTGATTAGAGCTTTTAATCGCGACTACCTCTTTATCTGTATTAGACAACGGAAGATCTCGATTCAGGTAAGGGACATAGCTGGAGAACGAGACGTTTGCCGGAGTATTTTGCGGTGTTGCTGGTTCCAGTAGCCGTGAAGGTATCGGTTTAGTCGGTGACGAAGTAAATTGCGACGATGCAAGCACAGAAGAATTGTCGTGAAAAATCGTCTGATTTACGGACGATAAAGATGAGTTATATGCCAGTCCAGTTGGACTAGATCGAAACGAGCTATGAAGAGAGCTGTTACGAGATAATTGCTCAAACGTTGGAACTTGCTCGTTCGAAGAACCGATTTGCTGCTCACTAATATTCTTATTTTGCGAGAACCCCTCTGACTCGTACGGATTCAAAATGGTCGGTGGTGTAGTATATATATTTTGAGACGGGAAGACCGTTTGTACTTCTGGATATGCCTTCACGCTGTTAGATGTTAGATCAGGCGGCGGTACGTACTTCGGACGTCGTTGATTCCCAAGTCGATAAGAATTTGGAGCTTCAACAAGAAATAATAAATGTTACATATAAATGCAACAGATAAATGGAATAAGAACTAGTCACACGTAAGCACAAGCATTAAATAAGAAATAAGAAATTTTATATATAAATACAGCAGATAAATGGAGTAAGAACTAATTACACAAACGTTAAATAAGAACTAGTTTATGTGTGTCAGCACTGAACTAGTTTTTTTTAGTACATATGCCAGTCATCATATTTCTAGTATACGTCAATGTATGAACAATAAAAATTAATCGATTTTCTTGCAATCGTGTTATATCATATTGTCTACGTATCATCGAGTTATTTGTAGTTTTAAGATATAATTTTCTTATTTATAAGCTAATTCTAAGCACTTACCAACTGCAGATGCACTAGGTGGAACCGTAGATTGCGGAGGAATCGATATAGTACCAGCAGGAAATTTTGATGTATCTATATTTGAAATATTGGTTGCTAAGAATCCTGGTGCATATGGCTGAGAACCTTGACGCTCTTGTGAGAGTGCGAAAGGATGGAATTCCTGTGCCGTTTCGCTAATATTCTCGGCCGTCTGGTTTATTTGCGCTCCCGAAAAATCGTTTTTACTCGATGACAATGACAAGTTTGGCAAGGAAGAGAAGATCGATGTGAAATATCCCTGTCTCGCCGGCTGATTCGCCGTGTCTTTACTTTCGTTTGGCTGGCAAGATGCATTCGTAGAAGAATGTTCATACGTGTTTGACGAGGTTTGAGGCTGATTATTATTGACCGGCTCCTGTCCTACGAAGTTGTCGAGTTCTGCATCTGAAAAAAAATGACTGTTTAGTCAAGTAATTGTTGCTATCATGTCTCCATTCTTTCCATTCCATTCATTCCATATGTTCATTAAAATATACAGGGTGTCTCACACTCTCCTCCATTTTGTGGGAACGTAGAACAGGTTACGGTGAACATAAAAGTCCTATATCGTTTTGCGATATTCACAATAATTATCGAGATATTAATTGTAGAAAATTTGTGAATAATCATGCAGAATATGGTAAATGAGTTATAGTAGCGATGACTGCCGTCATGTACTTATACTTTAGGTCAAATTGAACAAAAGAGTCCTCTATTATTTTGCAAATAATCACATAGATTTTTAATTATTAATTAAAGAAGATAAGTGCATTATCACGCAAAATCGTGCAATAATCTTCTTTAATTAATAATTAAAAATCTATGTAATTATTTGGAAAATGGTAGAGGACTTTTTTGTTCAATTTGACCTAAAGTATAAATATACGACGGCAGTCGTCGCTACTATAACTCTTTTACTATATACTGCATGATCATTCACAAATTTTCTACAATATCTCGATAATTATTGCGAATATCGCAAAACGGTATAGAACTTTTATGTTCACCGCAACCTGTTCTACGTTCCTACAAAATGCTCGGAGGAGAGTGTGAGACACCCTGTATAACTTATTCTACACAACACGCAAACTCAAACTGTTACTTAACAATAGCGATAACATAGTGATAGCGATAACATAGTGATAGCGAAAACAGTAATAGATAGTGATAGCGATAATAATAAATTGCAGCAATTTTTACATACATATATTTTCCAGAAATATATCCAAGAAACGAAATAATTATAACAAAAATATATCTCTTTGTGAAATAATCTTACATTATTTTTACAGGATAATATTTCTACTGAAATGAATAGTTCAAAAAATTAATAAAGACGTCTATTTGATCATAGATATTCTTGGCTAATCGGGTGTGTTCATAAAATATTCTCTCCTTCTAGGATGACTAGATACCCCGGCGCATTATTCACTATCTGTCAATATTGGACAGGATACAATGAACGTAAGAACCAATGACGAAGATGATAGGAGCCGACTGATACATCGCGCTTCTACTTTCGCTTTTTTTGTAAGTGATTATACGAGCATCCTGACAGGTTTTATATCGCCAATGTTGTTACGTTAACGTATCCTGTTTATGAACGTAAATATTCAGGTTTAAGTGTAATTTATGATGATTAACAACATTAGCTGCACGAAATGAGAGCTACGAAATGAGAAGTTCGTTTCAATAGTTCGCAAATACTTCATACTTGTGCGTCATTCGCTATATCCGTACACACTTATCGGTAATACTTGAGTAGAACGAATAATTCATAGCGATGTAAATTGTGTTGTATTCAAATGTGCGCAATAACACTTGGTGTTTTTTTAAAAACTTTATAAAGTTTATGTCCAATATGATTCACCAGTATTCAAAGCATACTGAATTGTGCGCATAAAGAAGGTAAATGTCGTTCTATTAATAACAAATATTAATAAATTTTACCACTTTTCTTGTCATATAATGTCAGATATCGAAAAGAAGATACACCATCTCCCGTAAACACAGCTCATACATGGATCGACGTAAAATATTTATGCACAAACATTTAATCCGAGATTATAACAGGATATTAGATGGCTGGTATTTATAAATTGTAGCAAATCTTGAGATATCGCGCTTCGTTCATAAGGAGACACCTTCGATTGTGCAACGACAAACGTTGACGCCCAGATTTACCTTTTCATTTGTGTTATCGTCAATGTAACTGACGATACGTTACTCCTCTGTAAACTTAAGCGAACGAAACTTTATAAGTACGCCGCACACATTTTTGCGATGGTCTTTCGTTCGACTTTCCTCTTACGCTCGCGGTAATGGAATTACGCATGTTCTGGTTTATTGTGATGTGCATTCTGTGTGTGTGCAGAGATGCAATCGGTGAATCAATATTTACGACAGCTTTCACATCGATTAATAACGCTTCTCAATTCAATGACAGGACAAAGGACGCGCAAATCGAACGATTGATTCAGATGCAAACAAGACCGATTGAAACTACTCGGAAAGATGACAAGTTTGATTTATCGGTAAAGACGAAAACTTTGAGTGGATTTAAAAATGTGACGTGTTCTAGGTATGTTAATATAATTTTCAAGTGAAATTAATAACATAATTATATGTTATTTAAAGATGTTGCAAGGATCGAATTTATTAATAGACACGTATTTAGGATGACAAAATTTTAGAATGAATCCTATTTTCACAATAAAATATAAAATTGGGTTTTTTTCAAAATGAGGTTTCATAGATTTTTTGTTACATTTGCGTGTTATTCTTAACTAATAACTTTTTGTTATTTTATAAAACGTCTTCTTCGGTGTAATAAACGAATAAAGAAATGTTTCTGTTGAAAGATACTGCATAGAACAGCTGGGAACTGGCAAAAATCCGTTTGAAGATATTAATCTCTTTTGGTCATTCGCCGGGAGCAAAAATGAAGCGGGTAATAATCTCAATTTACTGATGTACATAAATCCTTTTTTTTCAAATTACCAATGTTATTGATGTTGCTTATCAGATCTGACTGCACATTGACGTAAGTGGGCTTTTGTAAGTTATGTTGTTGCCGTTAGTTATTTTGAATTACACATTTTAACGATAATAGATAACGCATTATATCATTCGATATTTTTAAAATCATATTACAAAATAATCATGCTTGCTGCAAGAAATAACGACAGTAACTTTACTATAAAGAATACGTGCTGAACACAAATACAAATTCTATAAATATCTTATATGAAAGTTGAAACATCGACGAAAATATCAGAATCTTTGATGAGATTTCAATACAATTTTGTTTATGTAGAAACAGATGTATATATAAATATATTTTGTGATTAACATTGTTTCAGATCATTTCTTTTTGAGAAAAAACCCAAAGTTAAAGATATCAAGACATGTTAATAAAAGTTTAACGGATTTAGACAACAGTTGCCAAGTAAATTGTTTTCAAGGCACTTATGTCATTTTTAAAGTAAAGGACTTATTTTTAAGAATATGACTAATTGCTTTATTTATAGATTTATCTCTATCTGGATTGTGACATTATAAATATGAAAACAAGTCCGCTTAATCAACATGAAAATACTGATTCGAATTTAGAAATTAATCATCAAAGCGTTGAAACCTTACAGAAACTTTTCTCGCGTTCCGACTCGGAATTTTTGGTGAGTAACAGAGGAGGGATATTATATTTATACAGTAAGAAAAATCGTAAAAACCGTATGTTTTACAGCAGAAGAAAACATTGGCACACAATACTAATTTGAGTGGATACACCGAAATTAAATTCCATATAGACGCCAGTGTGATGAAAATTATAATTAACATTCGGGGAAATCTTACACGCGCAGCCCTAGCTATACCTACAATACCGAGAAGTAAGTCTCACGTCACTTTCTTCATGTAACAAGCCAGTAATGTAATGCGAAATCAATAACATCACGTTCAAGCCACGTGTTTCACAATATATCTATTGTATCGGTTAGTTGCGACACGGCTAAAAATAGATCATTGACGCATCAATTTTTGATGTCGCGTCACATATATTTCCAAAAGACAACTTTATTTTATATTCTACTTCTAAAATCGGAAGAGTAAAACAAGTATAATAATGTCTTAACTTTACACAAATATAATACTTTTTATAAAATAACATTGATTGTGCAGACTAAGCAATGTATCGCGTCAAATATGTAGTAATGTCCTCACGAAAGATGTTTCTTTCAATGTTTCTTTTATTATCCATTCATGGAATCATATTCATTGGAAATTATGTAAACATTTAACATCACATCAAAGAAATGTGTGTCATGCAACGATTAAGATAATACAAAATAATTAAATAATAAAACATGAGAAAGTACCAGTTCTACGTTTCTATGTTTATTTTGTTTGCCGTAAACTGTAATACACCGGTTATTTCATTAACGTATACACTTTCTTGATTATTAAATACATTTCGTCGCACACAGAATCACTATCTTTAAACTCAATTCCGTCTAACCTCCGAGCGTCAAGGGCAGTATCGACCGCATAGCTGCTTCGTTCGTACTGCTCGCATCGCACTAGGTGACCACGTTGCACGTGATTTCGTCCTCGCATTAAATGACTATTAATATTCAATCTTTATCTAATATTTGCAATGTAAAGCCGTAGACACGAAAAATAAGTTTCAGGAAATCGAGAAACAAAATATCACATTTTTCCTCATCAAATCGCGATTCTTTTATTATCGTTAAATTTGACCCACAAGCCATATCAACAAGATGCCTAATCCAGAAACAACTTTTATTTCTTTGTGATTCACTCGTTAACAGACAGAACGATGCGGAGGCCAGGAATAACGATGTCGTTGGCACGTACATACGATATGAAAGGGGTGGCGATCGACGCGCGCAACCCTCCGCCAGGTGGCTACCTGATGAAACTAACGGGGGTAGAAAATTCAAAGTACAACTTCGACGTAACCGGTTACTTCGGAACGAGCGAGAGAAATAATACGAGGAACGAAATTATCGACGTCAAGTTCACGAGCGGTAAGCGAAATTGGAGGTTTAAGTGATAATTATAAGTTAATATAATGGTGTATACGATTATGAAAGTTTATCTGATGTATTTAAGAAATAATTCAACTATCACGCGAGTTCGTGCAATTTCTGTGCGTTAATGTAACACACCGATTCAACTTAGCATGAAATAACTAACATCTAACATCGGCTGTCGTCTTTAACTTCATAACTGTCTAAATAAAAAGGATTGAGAATTGAATCAGCTGCGTGTAAACCAGTCATGTTAACAGCACTAAGTTGCACTAAATGCAATATCATGCAAAATTATAAGTCAAGCAGAACAATATTTATCTCGCAACTATTCTTACTTTACCGCGACTATTCATGAAGACAAGAGAGATTCGCGCGTCACAATGTTGCAGCTCGCGTTTTTCGCAAATCAGAATAAAGGAATCACTCACTCACTCTTATCTGCACGCGAATTCAGCCGCGAATCAGCCGTCAGCGAAACGCACGAGTTGCACACGCGCTCACGCGCACTCTCACGCAACTTCCAACCTCGTCGTAACACGACAGCCGTCTGACAACTGCCAACCCATTGGTTTCTGGTCCGCGAATACACAAGATTATGCAATTTACTCAGTGGCCTTTGATCGCAGTTCTCGCATCATCCTTCTCTTTCATTCGCGTCCAACTCGCACTCTGACGCACATCAACTCCCTGAGGAAGTAAAGTAGAGATTCAATAAAGTTGCTTGTTTCACTTTTCATCTTAACGCCTTTCTCTCGTTTCCTCTCTCTTTCTCTCTCCCTCCCTCTCTCTCGAAGACGTCAACCGGCCAAAAAAGGCAGCCACTTCCGATCGCGCGAAGACGACAATTTATGGACGTTTCTTGTAGGTGCGATATACACAGCCATCGAGCACTCGGCCATCGAGTTTTTCGAACGGTGCCAACGTTATTATTATCGACGATTCTATTTTTAAACGATCCACTAAATATGACGGCTTTTATAATCGCGCATTTAGTAAAATTTGTTAATACGGTCTCTAAGTGACGATTATCTTTTTAATGTCTTCATCTTTCCCGTATGAAAACTCAGGCGATTCATAATCAATAATTATGGCCTCGTGTTACGATTTTTAATTATATTCCTTTCTTTCGTTGCGACAAACGTACAATTACGACTCCAACGTGATAGGAGTCCATTACTTTCATTTTTACATCAACGCGGAAAGTTGGATGAATGAGCCTTTGAAAGAGGAAGTTCTGCTTATACAATCGAACAGCGGAGTTGATTGAATTTCCGGGAAAATGTTAGGAACCTCATTTAGACATTTTTTAGCAATTAATAACACATAGCTTTCATATAACAAAATAATTAATAAAATACATCGCTATGTTGCGAAATATATTGTTAATCATTTTTATTGACGTGTAGAATTAAAACACTTTAATTGGATGTTAGGTAAGGATTATACTTCACAGAATGAAGCAACAGCCATGACAACTTTTTTTGAGAAACATAATGAATTCGATAAAATGAAGAAAGTAAGTTACATAAAATAGTGTGTAAAACATCTTTATGTAATACATGATTAACCTTCCATATGTAGCCTTTGAAACATGCTTCTACTGAAATTTTACAGGATATCCACGAGGACATGGCCAATAGCCAAATAAATTCAACATTTGAAATAAGACCTGACGTGAGTAAAAAACCGAAGTTCGTGTATGAGAGATCTGCAGATATCATGGATGCACAAGCAAATACTGATGCAGCGATAACAGATGATCTTCCTGATACGTCACCTTCTTCACTTGAAGCCATCGTAATGAAAGACATTATTAACGATTCTGCCCTATCTAATAATTCCTTAGTGAATTATGGTGACGTCGGAATTCCGCAAAATGCATCAAATAAAGCAATGTTCAACGGAAGAATGCTTGCTCTGGTCAGGCATATAAGCATCAAAGTTCTACGTTACTTTAACCTATAGAAAAATGCTAATATAGATCTTTATTTTGAACAGCAGCCGGGAAGGCAGGAACAGAAAATTCAAACGCGATCATCCGAAATCGTCTCATTAAACGAAGACATCGATATGAATGTCAAACCATTCCTTAGTAACAACGTAACAATAAAAACAATAAAAAATCAAGAACTTTCAACGAGATTGGCAGAGAATAAGGAAGACATTTTTAGAAAAGAAAAAATACTGATAGAAGTGAATCCCGAGAGCAACTTAATCGCTATACCAGGAAGAATACACACAATATTTTTCGATTTGACGAACAATTGCGTTCTTACAGTTAGATATGCAGTTCGAGCAACGAGCTCATCATTTAGGATAAATAACATACGACCTATGTAGTACGTAAATCAATCACTAAATAACATTACGAAATAAATCGTTCGATTTGTTCGATTATATATTTTTTCTCATTGTTCTAATCGATGCTTACTTTCGTAAATCTGCAACAGCGTATATTTATATCCGGGACAGACAAGTTATGTAGCCGTGGATATTATTGTGCCGACAGGAATCAGACAAGATACAGTGAATACGCTTACATTGTTTGTCGATGGTACGGAAATATCGGAAAAAACGGTATATGTTTACATTCAAAATCCATATACAAAGGTAAGTGGAAATAAGACAACTTGGCAATTCCTAAGCTTTGGAAATTTACATTGAACTATAAATTTCTTAGTAAATTTCGATACAAAAATCAGAAAATTTTACATATATCAAATAATATAATAAAGAGAAAGGATAGTGTGCAATATGAAAAAGGATATTTGTATATAATACTTTTTAATTTTACATTTGTACTAGATTGTATACTTTATGTTCGCTATCTAGATTTTATATTATTTACAATTTGTTTTTTTTTAGATAATTGATAATGTGAGACCAACAATCGAATATTCGTTCAATAGCAATTGCGCCGGTAATCTAAATAAAGATCGATGCGACAAGACGTTTTGGAGTGCTGACGTCACTATTCAAGATCCCGATTCAGGTAACAAAAGTAAAGAAATAAGAATTGAAAATATAATCACTTGTGCATATTTCTTCTCTACTTTTATACAGGTCTAAAGAGCGTAACATCAACTCCGAATAGGATATATCCACGTTCTGAATTCATAAGTGGCACGAAAAATTCTGTAACATTTTATTATTTGTCCACATGCTGCTATACGACAGCTACCGTTACAGCAATTGATTCGTTAAATAATGAATATTCCCGGAAAATAGATGTCACAGGTAATAACACAAATGTATAAATGTAACATATATATAAATGTGAACATGATTGTACGAAAGTAAAGACGTTAATAATGCCTTTCAGTTCCAATCGAAACATTTGTATTGAGAAGCATCTAATCTAAATTTTTATGCATTATGACTTAAAACTGAATCTAACAATTTCATAACAATACCAAGTTAATAAGAAAAAGCAGTTTCGAACTCTTTAATCAACACTCATGACATGTATGTTTAAACACATGTTTCATCCAGAGAAACCGGAACTGGGAAACATTATTAATAAGCTTTTACACAAAGGAAGGTTAAATGTCAAGATAACACTCAATATTTCGATAGAATGGGACAATCTATCTCAGGGGGAGATAGCTGCTGTCGTAGTTGGTGCATTATTTCTTCTCCTTCTACTGATACTCCTCATTATCGCTATAGTCTATTGCGTTCGCAAGAAGAATAGTCACGATTTACCTTACACACAAAGATATGGCTCTAGACAACCTCCCAGATCCGAAAGAACGAGTTTCTAACAACGTCGTCGTAGAAATTAACCACATCATTGGATTGAAATTAAATCATAAATCTTTAGAAACATTATACCTGTCATTATACATGTCAGTCTGTATGTAAGTATTTAATAAATTTCTACATAAAATACACCTGATCTTACAAAATATTAAGTGCAACTCATTACAACAATCACATGCTTGTCATTAAAGAAAAGAAAACTCGGAGCGAAACTAAAAGGAACCTAGTCTTTTACGAACTGCGCTTTAAAGACAATGTACTTAAATGTTTACGCTAGACGTACTTTATTACGTCTACAGAAATAGCTTATACAGAGAAGAATATACAAAAATCTTAAACAGTAAAAGTTGAACAGTAAATTAATTTAATGCCAATCACAATGGAGAAATATTGAGATCATTACTGCAATTTTTAAATTTTCAACTGAAATATTTATACTTCATTTATACTGCTTAAGTTTTTGTATCTTTGCCATCGATCTTTTCTGTTTACATCACAGAAATCTCAGACACACAACTCCAATGCCACGACATGACTCCTTCACGCTGCATAGTCATGTTACGAGCCACAATCTTACGATCTTGTGACGAAAATAAATGAAGCAACTTCGACGGTATTTGACGGGCTTCGTAACTTTCCAATACAACTTAACTTTGCACAGACTTACTCGTTCAAACCGGTCTAAAGTTCATTAACTAAGCTTAAGCGTAGGAAGGACTACCTTTCCTCCTATTTTCGTCGCAAAACCCGCTAATTTAGCGGGTCTGAGAATCGTGGTTCACACTCGTAAAGACCTTTGCACAATGCTAGGCTACAGGCAATAGAAATAGGCATTAGCCAGTAGGAACAGGGAATAGAAATAATTGACCAATCCGAATTCCTACTCCCTGTTCCTATTGCCTGTTGCCTGGCATTCTGCAAAGGCCTTAACGTTCGATACTAGAGTCAGGGACTTTCACCATTGCCATCGTCATGTCGCACGTTCCTATAATACCAACTGCACAAACAACGATGGAATAACAGATGTTTGAACACGACTGTATTCTAGCCACAAGCGTACACACGAAATTAAGGAGAGAAAACGAAAGTTATCCGTTGGTGAATCTTACTTCAGAATCAATCATCATGCAGTTTTCTGCGTTATTGGATCAGACAATACACGAAATTCGCAAGATGTCGAGCCCCACCCACGCTCTTTTGTCGAACTCAAACTCACCGTCCCGGAGTACGGCGGGAGTTGCAGGTGTGACAGGCATCAACAATGCATTCTCCGTGTAATTCTCCAACGGAAAGCCCGGACCCGCGGCGGACAGCAACGGGTTTTTCACTTTACGCGATGAGTTGTTCATGCTCACGGTGATGTCGAACGCTACAAGGTCTGCGCTGGCACTGCCATTAGAGACTAAACGAACACTCTGACTCGAATGCACTTTTAAATCCCACTTCAAGACGAAAACCTGTAATCTTAGAGTCCACGTAAACACAAACGTCTATCACAGCTATTCGATAAGTAGACACGTCGCTTCGTGTAACGTCCGTTTGTGGAACACTTCCTGGAACTTGACTAACTGAGCTGATAGTCGAGTACGTTTAGGAAGATTTGCGTGTCTGCATTGGTATTACACCCAGAATATCGAAACAGCATCTTGAAGAACACAAGATGGCGTTAAAATTTGAATCTGCGTAAACATCAGTCGGCCATCAATAAAATTCGCACAATACGATGTTAATTTTATCGATTGCTCTTATACAATTGATCTAAATGTCATCTCGGTATCATTATCATAATTAAAGAAATATTTAAAAAAGATATTAAAGACTAATCTATACTATACTAATCTTTACTAAAGAATTTCTTTAATAAACGTATTTTACGTATGTTACCGGTGGCGCCGAAGTCGTGCACCTGTCTGCGAGGTTCGAACAGATGGAAGTGGATGTAGAGTTGCTGCGGTACTGTGAATAGTTTGAGAACCGTAGACACAAGTTAATGTCCCTATGCAAACAACATTTATGGACATCTATCCTTAAAGTATAAAAGGCTGTTGATTCTTTTATTTTTAGATTCATTTTTCATTAGCTTTACCTTAATAATTCTAGGTATGAAATGTTGAAAAAAATCGATTAACATCCTTCTTCTTTTTATGTAACAATATAACGCGCGCGGCTACTATATTTTTATATAATTTAAAGAGAGCATAAAAGAGAAAAATATAACTATAAAGCATGTTGTTAAAAACAACAGGCAACAAAAATATACTTTAGCGATCAAAGATAATGAAGGTTTCTATTTCAGTGGCTGTCAGTCTGGTTTGACTTCTAAAAGGTCTTACAAGTTCCACTGTGGAAACACGATTGTGTTTATCTCAACTCATGATAACATTCATCTTGACCTTCTCGTTAAAAAAAACTTAAAAGTCAAAGTCATAATATATTAAAGAACATTTAAAAAATTTTTATATAATCAATATATCTTACACCAATTTTCGCTATGATAATTTCAATTATTAGTTCCCAATAATAAATACATTGCATAATATTTATTGTTTATGGTATTAAAGATACTATTTTACACAATTATGAAAAATTGTAATATATTATATGATAGATTGAAATATACGCTGCAAGTAATCACTTCAAGCATATTAAGTACGAAATAGTGACACTGTACCAATTACAATGAACGATATATAATTGTATAATTGCTTCTACACCATTAAATTATATAAATATTAATAATAACATCTAAAATTATGAAAATATGAAATTGTATAGATACAGTAAATGCGAAAATACATTAACAATTAAAACGTTATTTATTTTAACGCAATACATTCGATAATATTTCGAAATAATAGAGTTGCGTTTGTTGTATAGATTCTCATTAATCGAGAATTACTTCAATCAACGTGCTTGGACTTCCGTAGACTCATATAGCGAAAGATTAAACGCTGAAATCCGATTTTCGATTTAATCCTTTTTAGCATGAGCTTACGCAAAGGTGAAGGTATTAAGACTTCAAAGCGCAACGTAATTAGCAACATGTGATACAAGTATTAAAGATTCGCCTGTCCTTTAAATGGCAAGCGAAACTTCAACCCTTTGTACACCCAACTTCCCTCCGATAATATCAGTTTATCAACAGATTTATTAGTTGTATTTTCTTAGGAAAGGATTAACAAAAATGTAAAATGTATAAACATTGAAGAACGTATATTCAAGTATCAATTAAAAAAAAGGAATGTATTAGTAATAATATCATATTACAATCTTTAATCTACGAGTGCATAGCTTATAAATCAAGCGTGAAACGACAACGTACGTGAGATCAGCCAAAAAATAATATTCTTTGATCCCCTGACGTCGCCTCGCAGATGACATTTCTAAATAGCCCTCGGTTGTACATCCTCTTGTCCACTAATCTGTTTAATCTGTCCCAAAATGAAATAGTTGCGATTCTTTCGATGGCACCCTTCGAATGTACAGAGCGACGCATGTTAGCGGGAGAAAGCACTTGACCCGAGAAAGGGTCGCCTTTGGAGTGGTTTACAACAGGGGGATTATATTTGGGGCAAAGTGACTGTCGGGGACACGATCATCGTCTCTGTAACTAGTCGCGTTGGGCAAGTCCTGCGACTTTTTGAACATCGAGTTTTTCAAGTGCTTTATTTTTAGCTTTTGAAGAATCTACTTTACAAAAAAAATTTTTTTGTTTAAATGTTCCAACCTAGAAATTTTATTTACAAGTACCACAATATCTTCGTAACTTGACATAATTACTGTAACAATATATATATAATTCATAAACAACTTCTATCGTTTATACCGTCTACTTTAATAAAATTTACAAAGTGTCCATCAGCATTTCATAAGGTACTCGTAAAAACGTTGACTGTGTCTGAAGCAGAATTCTTCATAAAGTTTTCATGAAAAAGACTTTTATCTACGCTACTTAGATCTACATTGTTATGATGTAAATCAAGAAATACGATTTCAAGAATCACGATTATATCTTATAAAATTAAATAATATCTTACAATGCATAATTATACGACAAAATATATCTCTATTCTAATAAAGTATTTATTCCTCGAGTCGCAAAATTCCACCAAATTCTCCAGTTGACGTATAATCTGAACATATCAAATATTGTATATATACATGGATGGTACATATATATATATATATATATATATATATATATATATATATATAAGTGTGTGTGTGTGTGTGTGTGCAACGACGTTTTCGCGAATATGCCACATGCCTGCACGAACAATACGAGCCGCAACGTTCCTCTCTTTCTCTTCCTCTTTCTGTCTCCCTCTTGGCTTTTTTGACTCACCTACGCATCTCCACGCCCCCGCGTTCTTCTGGGTATCCAGGCAGAACGAGGGCGGCGCGGGCAGGGTGCTGACTTTTATTACCCCGTCTGATGTTATGAATGCGACCTGTACGCAGCCCCTCGGGCGTACATTCCCCTTCCGTCGTTCGTCCTGCATAGCGGTTATGCTTTTTACGGCATGTATATTCGTGGTCATGATTAGTGACGGCTACGAACATACGACGCGAGCCCCGTTTAGCCGAGTAGCCGAGCATCCCCAAGTCTCGATTAGTCGCCGCACGGACACGAGTTATAAATATTTGTGGCGCAATGCGCAAAAAGGGTATCGACCGACCGTCCGATATGCAGCCAATCAGCCGCAAATAGTTGGATATATTCGTATAAAATATCGTATTATTTTTTATATCAATTTTTTGAACGATTTCGACGGAGCGTTTTAATTTCCATAAAAGCTGGACAAAATTCAACACAAGCACCACTTCAACCACGCGCATAAAAGCGCCTTGATCGCGCTTTGATCGTTCAAATTGACGAATTACACTCTTGTCAATACAAACAATTTCGACACGCTCGTCAAATTATTTAACTTAATTAACATCCCCAATAATCATCGTATCGCCCTAACATGCGAGACACATTATGTGATATTGTTTAGCAAAATTTTTAAATGATCAATCAAATGTTAGAATTATTTTATACAAAATGTCATACTATAGGACATTGTGCAAAATATACACACACATCTGAGTAAATTCAAACTAATCAAATATTTGGAATATTTGTTCGTAAGATTGTTCGTATCCACTACTACTTAACGCGCGGATGAGATAGCGTTATTAAAACAAATCACCGTTATTGAAGTTTGTCGTGTGCGCGTATGAGGATGATTATCGAAAATCATAATATAACGATGGTGATGGCTGTGTATGCGCAGCTGTAGCTACGTGACTACGACAGTAATCGTACGAAAATATTTCCACGTTTCTCGCCCCTTAATAACGCAAGCATCCCTCATGCCACTGGCCAATGCGAGACACCCGCATCTGGGAAGAATATTGCAATCAGTCGCAACCAGTCGTTTCGCCGCGTAATAAATTATACTCGACTGCTCGTCGTGGCGTCCGCAACGCTAATTGGATGCTGTTGAAGCGCGCCGCGAAACGTTCGAGATGTCTGTAGCCTCCGAGCTGTTTTTGTAAAGAATCTTGACTCTCTAATTGTACCGTCACAGATATCGATGAAATTAATGGCGATTTAATCGAAAATGGCTTGATTTCTTCATTAATTAGATTTTTGCACATTGTATATAAGTATTACCTTATATTTTTCTGTCTCATATTGCTGTAATTCTTATAATTATATTATTAAGGTAACTAGAACTGTGTTGTTCAGTCCTCCCTTAAAACGATTAATTTCGAGGCCTAATTTTGTTAATATTAGCGCATACGTCCGCCCTCGCATATGCAAATTGCAGATTCCGGAGATTGCGCGTTTGATATCGACACAATTTATAAAGTGAAGATTGCTTGCGTATTTCGAGCGGTGGAATGCTCTTTGATCCTAACCGGGAACTCGCATTATGCACAATTGCTGCCTTCACGTCACTTCAATTTCTTTTTTCAGCGCATAATAATGTCGCCACTATTAAAGTTATTTTACAAAGTGCATGTTTAAAAGTGACAAAAGTTTACCGTTTTAATAAAATTCTTTTTTGTTTTAAATTAAATTAGAATGTTTATTCAATTATCTTTTTTGTATATTTTGATAATACTTACCATTAGTAAATTGTGCATTACACATGCTAGCTGTGAACATAGATGGTTCTATTGCTACATTTAATGTAATGTAGCTGACGTTTCATAGATCATGAAATGACTTTTGGCGCAGGCGCAGATGTAGACTTGATGACATCAGCGCACCCTATTTTCTGCCTGCGCTGAGAAATACACGAGATGTATGTACGTGGAAAGAAAAGTCGCTTGTACTTATGGGATGAATTTGTTAACTCATCCGTCTTGTTTAATAGAAGAATTCTTACATTGAACGAGACAAATGAGAGATTACAAATTTACTCGTGTAACAAAGAATGATACAATAATTTTATAACACAATTTGACTTAAATATATAATTATAATTATATATCTAAAACATATGTGAAATTGTGAAGAAGAGAGAGAGAAAAGCAAAATGTGATAAAACTTTATTATATAAAAATATTAGTGCATCTCTCAAGCCTTACGTGAATACTGTGTATTTGTACATATTATTACACCATACCTAAGAATTTCTAAAAGAAAAATCAAACCAAGTATCCTTATGGAGTGTCTAACTGGAGAACCATATGATCTGATTGGCATACTCTAGTATATAGAGACATGTACAAAAGAAGCACTCACTAACAACATCAAATTAGCACCTAAGTGCTTGGCATACAGAAGGCAATATATTTTGGATCAAGCATATATATTTTAATAAGGTAGATTCTTAAATAAAAAAACAAGTTTGAAGAACTTTATATATTTTAATAAAACATAACAAATTACTTGTACTATGTTAGATTGTATATGTACATAGTAAAATAATTATACAATATGGAAGAAGTTATGTTTTAAAATTAACATCTTGTTATTCATTACTGGTCATTTATTGAAAAAACTTGCTGTAACCATTACCAATCTTAAAAATTTCTTCATTACTATTCCTGTTATTTATGAAGTAATGAGTTATTATAAGAAGTAGTAAGTTAGTACTGTTTTCACCAAGTTTTGGAGTTTCTTTTCTTGACAGTTTGTAGCCGCTTATGAACATGTATTCTATATATATTCATAACTAACTACAAAAGTAACAATTATATTTGTTAATATTATCTAAGAAATATAATTCTGTTACTGTTACAGTCACAATTAAAACGATTAAAGTCCATCCTAAATAGTTATAGATAAAAAGTAACTTATAACCTCAAGAACGTTACGTCATTTGTTACATTGAAAAACTTACTGTTACTATTGCTAATCTTGAAAAATTATTTATTACCATTATTGTTATTCAAGTAGTAATGAATTATTACAAGAAATACTAAGTTAGTAGTGTTTACACTTATTTTTGGAGATCTTTGTCTGACAATTTGATGCTGCTGATATCATATACATGTATTCTATATGTATTCAGAACTAACTATAAAAGTAACAATTATATTTGCTACTATTATCCAGAAAATATAATACTGTTTCTATTACAGTTACATTCAAGGAAATTAATATCATTACTAAATAATTACAGACAAGAAATAACTTATTACCTTATGAACATTACGTAATGGTCATTTATTATATTAAAAAACTTACTGTTACTACTGCTAACCTTGAAAAATTACTCATTACCATTATTGTTATTCAAGCAGTAATGAATTATTACAAGAAATACTAAGTTAGTAATGTTTACATTTATTTTTGGAGATCTTTGCTTGACAGTTGGTGCCGCTAATATCACATACATGTATTCTATATGTATTCATAATTAGCTACAAAAGTAACAATTATATTTGCTACTATTATCCAGAAAATATAACTCTATTTCTATTACAGTTACATTTAAGGAAATTAATATCATTACTAAATAATTACAGACAAGAAATAACTTACTATCTTAAGAACATTATGTAATAATTATCCATTATATTAAAAAACTTACTATTGCCATTATTAATCTTGAAAAATTACTTATTAACGTTATTGTTATTCAAGGAGCAGTTGATTATCACAGAAAGTACTGAGTTAATAGTGTTTACATCAATTTTTGAAGATCCTTTCTTCAGTTTGATACCGCTGATATCATGTATTTATATGTATTCTATATATACTCACAAACTAATCATAAAGTTATAAATATATTTATTACTACTACTCAAGTAATGTAATTCTGTTACAGTAACAGTGACAATTAAAAAGATAAAAGGTCTTTTTCAATAATTACACACAAAAATAACTTCTAACCTTAAAAGCATTATGTAAGGGTCACTCATTACATTGAAAAGACTTACTATTGCCATTACTAATCTTGAAAATTTCCTTATTAATATTATTGTTATTGAAGAGGTAATGAATTATTACAAGAAATACTAAATCAGTATTGTTTTAACCAAGTTTTGAAGATCCTTCCTTGACAGTTTGATGTCGCTTATCTCATAAACATATATTCTATATATATTTATAACTAACTATAAAAGTAACACTTATATTTGCTATTATCATCTAAGAAATGAAATTTTGCTCCTATTATACTCATATTTAAGAAAATTAATATATTTATTAAATAGTTACAGACAAGAAGTAACTTTTAACCTTAAGAACATTGCGTAATGTTTACTTCTAATATATTAGATAATTTGTTAAATGATGATAATAACAATATATAAATGTGAATTCTTTTTTATAGGGAAAAGATCCTGTAGAATATATTGTTGCTGCTTCTAGGAAGAAGGGTCTATTTTTGAAGAGTTACTGATGCGAACAGATATACAATCAAAGTAAATAGTTTCAAAACTGAATGTCTTGCAGCTTGGTATATTATTATTAAATATATTATACAATATGAAAAGAAATACAAGTAAATTTATAAAATTAGAAAATATACATTATGCAATGAGATAAAAACTGATAAGGTATGTTTTACTGTTTCAGCATGCAAAATGGATTAAATTCTTGCACAGTGTATAGATGATACAGTGAAATTCTCATAAAAGGTTAAGCAATTTTTATGCAAATTATATTTTTATCTAATTGATTCTAACATCTTAGAAATTATTCCAAACAACTTTATGGAATTACTAGTTAAATAGTGTGCACGTCTGTATTATGTGTTCTTAATTGTAATATAAAATTAATTAGTTATTAATACGTTATTCTAATGTTTGATTATTGATCCCTCCAAAGCAAATATTCGAAGAAAGAGACACGTATAAGTTGCGAAAATATGGGAGTTTAAAAAATCGTTGATGTGTCTGCAGGATGCGTATAAATGGTACGATATGACGCCGGATACACCCACATCATCCCGACGATTTTAATATCCGCGAATGATAAACAAAGTGGTATCTAACGAAGTGGATAGAGGCGCGCCGTAATAAAATTTGCGTTGCGCTCCGTCGTGGCCGAGTCAGGGGAAACACCACGAGCGATTTCCTCCGATTTCAATTACCCCGAGCGACTGGTGTATATGGGTGCCTGTTTGAGTAAAAACGCGGAAGGCCGAGGGAAACGTCGAGAGTCGCTTTGCAATACCAATTTGTCACTCGACCTGCCGCGATATTGAAATCCGTTCCGCCATATTTCTGAATGTTTTGAAATATACTCCAACAATATTGCGCTCTTGGAATCTTCGGAATAGCGACTTTAAAATCATACGTATTTTTTTACACTTAACATTCGGCTCAACGTATATCATATTGAAATACAATATATAAACGTATGAAACTTATAAAGTGCACGATATATTTGGAGAAATGTATAGTTTATTCTTTTCTTTGACATTTCACATTAATTATTATAATATTATGCAAGGCTTGTGTTTTATTCAATTATTATAAATAATATTTCTAACGTATACAAATTTGCTTGCATTGCACTGTTTGCAAATATTTACATTTTTTATTGTTTATATTTTTTTATTGCTCATATTCTATAAAATAATTGATTTATTAACGTATTACAATATGTCCGGAACGTCTACAAAGATTTGCTCACTTGGAGATGGGCGAGCAACGTAATTTGGTCGTTTCGCCAAAGTGCTCATGCGTTTATATAAATCCCGTCCGCCAAAGAAGAGGGTTCACGATTAAAACTGCGGTTAATCCCATCCACCATCCTCCGTCCTCTCGTAACTGCCGCTCTTTCCCGTTGGTTTTATTCCACGTGAAAAGCGTGCGTACAGCACAGGAAGAGAGAACGATTCAGAGGGAGAACGGTAAAAAGAGCAACAAATAAGCGCAGGGATAGCAACGAACGAAGAGAGATGCAAAGAAAAAGAAGAGCTAAGTGATAGTATATGGTGAAAAAAATTGCATGAAAGAGATTCTCTTTTTATTACTTATTTGCACTGTACGTTATAGAAAAAATAATTTGGTAAAGGTGATGAAAATAAATATTTTAATTATAAAATAAATAAATTAGAATTAATAAAATAAATAAATTGGAAAAATAAATAAATTGGAAAAATAAATAAATTGGAAAATAAATCTAATCATCATTACAGATTTGTGTGTATACACATTTATTTGTTTTTTATACAATTGCGTAAATCCGACTTTTGTGTCGGAGGAACAAAACATTGGAATTAATAAAATAAATAAATTGAAAAATAAACCTAATCATCATTACAGATTTGTGTATATACACATTTATTTATTTTTTATACAATTGCGTAAATCCGACTTTTGTATCGGAAAAACAAAACATGAGTTTACATTTCGTGATTGCACAGTCTATAATATAAAATATCGTTCCCTCAAGCTTTTCTCTTTCTTTCTCTCTCCCTCTCTCTCTCACACACACGCGCGCACACATATACTATGATAATATTAAGTGTAGTTTTTGCATTAATCACAAATGTAACTCGCTATCGAATATTTTAAATATGAGGATAGTATCGAATAACCAGTTAGTCTGAAAATACACGATGCGATACATATGAACGCATACAACTAATGAAATCCCCCGCGCATCGCATGTAAAGTACTGCGTGGAGGACACGTATATGTGTGAGCGTAGTGATTTAGACAGAAAGATAAATATATGGAAAGTGCGATAAAGCAGATAGCAAGGCAGATAGATAGACGGACAGAGAGGAGGTGGTTAACGAGATAGGGTGATAGAGAGAGATCGAGCGAGTTTACCGGGGGTAGGGTGAGACCCCACAAAGGCAGTGGGGCTCTTTTGATTCGCGAGCTAATTGGAATGCCGCGGATGCCAACGACGATGGAGCAGGGGTTGGGATATCCTCCACCGAAAGGTGGGGGTTGCACGGCTCTTGCAAGTCCCGTTGTAACCGAGGGATAGGCGGAGCTTACATCTCGCAGCAGGGGTTGTAGCGCGAGATATTGAGGCTCATCTCGCCTTCGTTCTTCCCTTTCGTCCAGTGACGATTTCGATCCGATAACGTGGTTTTACCTACGCATGAGCCTCTTTGTGCGATGATCGACCGATTTCTAGGAATTTTGTAAAATATTTATTCATCCGAGCAGGAAAGAGAGAGAGAGAGGTGGTGCACAAAAAACTTAAAAATGAAAATTATATAATATCGTTGCTGTAACGGGATTATTAAACAAGAAGCTATGATTTATCGAGTTACATTTTAACGACTTAAAATATACACGATAACGCTACGATGATAATTATGAAGGATCGTAATAGTGATAATAACCGTATTAATTAAATATCGGATAAATGAAATTTACGATATGAGAGATGGTATATTACGAATAAATGTTTTGATGGATACCTTTCTCCATATCTCTCCGTGATGACGAAGTCTACATGATTGTGCATCAAGGGCTTTTTGTGATGCTTTGACGTGGGTCGTATGCTAATTTATCACGGCGACAATGAGGCTTCCACGCGTAACGAGCGTATATTGGTTACTAACCGTCATCCGTGTCAAATTTTTATATGGAATAACAGTACACGTGATGAAATTTACGTGTGCTAATAGTCTTTCGCAAATTTTGCAACAACACGACATCGCAGCATTAAGAATTACTACAGCTCCTACTACAAATTTAACAATATTTCGTATAGCAGAATATCAAAACTTGCTGTTAGCAAATTCCAAAATTTGTCTATCTGCACAATCTGTTTATTGCACGAAATATTTAATTATGTTTTATGAAATTTCGAATACCCCATCACCATACTTCTGTTGCAATAAATAACATCTACCTTTAGTACGCTGATGTAATAAAGATATTAAGTTTAATTGAACAAAGCGTATTCTCCTACCGTTACGTGCGACAGAGTTCCTGAGCGTTATTAATATTTACATACAAAAGCTTTAGTCGAAGTCTCCCCTTTGTGCCCGGCCAGTAGCCCAACACAAAAAACCGCACTCCTTGCGACTTTGACCGCGAGCGAAGGAAAAATCGTTTGAAAACTCGCGTAAGATATGATGCTCTTCTTCCCGCTCATATTTACTATATAATAACGACGAATATCAATTTAAGTCTGGGTATTAATTTGAGGGTTCAATTAAACAGACTAGTTGTGTTCAATGTACAGACTGAGAGTTTATTCTCCGTTTAACATGTACGCGTACGTCTATCGTATAATTAATTATATAATAGTATCACGTATTTACAATCGATTTTGTGCGCCACAGTGCCAAAAGACATTACTTTAAAGTGAAGTTTACCTCTTCGAAGTTACAATGAGAAAGAGGACGTTAAATCGCTCCGACATCAGCTCTATTCGTTTGGCTCGATTATCTGCTATTTTTCCTTTTTATGTACATTTGCGATTAATTTTTCGCGCCGTCGTGGCATAATTTTCTTATCATAGTACACAGAGTACTTCTACACGACTCGAGAAAGACAGTTACAAAAATATATGTTAGACAACCGGTAGGAGGGAAATGACTGTGAATAAGAGTATTATCGTAGTTCATTTGTGATTGTTACATTGTAATGGCATCTCTCGTTGTGTATGGTTCTACTATATCAGCTCTCGATAATTTTTATGTCTACGGATCCTTCGACACCTCGTCATTCGAAGTCATTCTAACTCTACGATTCAATGAAAGATATTCTTAAAGTGGTAATTTCCATTCCGAAACCCCTCCTTGCTCGCACCTAAATATTCTTTTCTCTGTAAAGCATAAACGAATATCTGACATTTTCTTTAATAACCTCTGCGATTAGAGATAATATTACATAGTCGAATGGACACTGCTAAAATCAAGAAACAAAATTTTATTTCGGGGGTTATTGCCGTAGAAAACAAATTTTTTGTGCTTGCTTGAAATTTCGTGAATACTTTTTGAAAACAATAAATTCATCTCCAATAAAAAAATTTACATATTCCGTCCGTGAAACGTTAATCTTTTCAATTTTTTATGCGAGTCAAGGATTATAACGAACGGATGTCCTAGTTGGGCCTTGTACTGACTGCTGTCTGATTCTATCGCGTGAAACGTTTGACGTATCTTTGGTATATCTGAGCGGAATTCTCGTGTATCCGTGCGATATTTCGTCCGCCGCATATTTTCCTTCCAATGTCTCGTGCATTGGTGTACCAGCGTCCCTGGAGCGTCTCGATTTCATGGAGTATAAAGCCGGTGATGGAATTTCACTAGGTATCGTACTTTCTTCAACATAGTGTCTCGGCTTGCAATGTCCGCACCAAAAGGGGTCGAGAATTTCGGCATCATCGCCTGAAAGAAAGTATAACATAATGTAATAAAGTAATACAGTGATTTCTGTATTTCGCTCAAGATATGGAACGACTAAATTGAGAGAACGAATTAATTAAGACAAACTAACTAAAGGAAAGTATTCTCTCTTATCGCGCAATCATGATTGAATTTCTTTCATTGCTTTGAGGTAACTTTGTGATTCGCTTACCAAAACGTCCCTTAGTCGGAAAACTAAGGGAATCTTGAAATCTGTAGTTGTTTCTTCTAGAACTCGACGGCTTCTTGATCGAGATACTGCCGCACCGGCTACATCTTCTCCTGTCAGCGAACTCTACCTCCATGAAGGACTTCGATTCCGGTCTCGCCCGTGCCTGGCGACTAAGCTGAGTTGGCGATGTGGTGTCATATCGATCGGCCGAACTTCTCGGCGGAATCCAATTTTGATGGTAACCCGCTGATGATCTTCGCGGAGGACTTTTCAATGCTTGCGCGACATACAGATCTTCCTCCGATAACGCTTCGTGGATATCGTGATCGGGTATGTTGTAGTACCTAATCACACGATCACCTCGCAGAAATTCGGCATATCGACGACAGAACGATTAAAGAGAATATCGAGCCGAAAGCATAATACAGATAATTTAACATGAAGCCGTTTAATTACTGCGTATGCCGTTAATGTGCGTTCATGCCTCTAATTTCTGATTCATGCTACTTTGTCGTACACGATCCATTTAGTTCTTCATTAGCTTTGAATGGACTGTTCACGCCGTAGAACAATTAAAGTAGCATAAATTGAGAATCAATCAGAACTAAGCGAATTAAATGAAGCAAAGAAGTATCATGAAACATATTTAAATAAATATTCCATTTACGGATAGATATTGCAAGAATTCCTAGCAATCGAGACAATCGGTATTATCGTTCGAGATGCGCGTATATAATAATTCATATTATGAACCTTGTTGCTAGAGTATGAGCTTGCAGTCGTGGTGAATGCTGACGGTAATGGATCCTATGTGGATCTTGTTGCTGGTTAATTGTTCGCAATCGTTGCTGCGCTCGCAGTAACGCTTCTTTTTTAGCTGCATCCCGTTGCATCGCCTGTGGCTCGGCAGGCACATCAGATTCGTCATCTACCTGGTCGTCCACATCTTGCTCATCGTACTCCTTATCAAGGGACTCAACCACCCCCTCTTGATCATTTGCCGCTATAGTTATATCTTATTTTAATAGACTAAATATGTAAAAGAGCCGTGTACACACACAATGTTCGCGAGTTTTTGAACACGCATCTATGTATACATCAAGGAAATTGTTTCTATGTCTCCTTCGTATTTCGTCCATTTCTCAAGAGCTTCCAGCGCTACTTGTAACATCCTCCCTTTTTGTAGTACAAAATTTCGTGCAAAAATAAAGGAAACATCAGTTACATAAATATTTACGTTCCATACCTTCGTCGTCAGCATCCTCCACTAAATTGTCTTCCGTATAATTTCCTGATACGTCCTCAATGTATTCTGTATCGTTTTCTCCTTCTTGCTGGTTTTTATATCGATCTTTTTTTATGACAGCAGCGTCGTTAACGTAATCTTTATTTCTGCTTGGATTTTTTTTAGTTTGTTGATAGCGATGTGGCGTCTCCGTGTGAACGGCGGAAGAATGTTTTGGATATGTCGAACACGGATGACTGTGATGTTTCACATTCTTGTAAGAATTTGCGGAGGAATAATAATTCACTGCTGGTTCCGCCATAGGGTTCTGATGGCGTCTAAAAATCACGCAACTGCCTCTCAGTCACATTTTCATTAGATACTATCGTCTATATATTCGCAAATATTTTTTTGAGTTTGAATCCTTGATGAAACAAAGAGTCTTCCTTTCTAATCGAACATTTTTTATAAGAATGTGAGTTACCTGGTACTTTTATCAGTAGTATCTTGTTTACTCCTTTGAGCATACTTCCAATACGTATCAGGCAAAACTCTAGTGTCAGTAGATTGTTTAGTAGACCATGTGGCGGACGAATGTGGAGAATTGTACTTTGTCTTATTTCTTCCAGTTTGCTCCATTTTCAAAAAATGTTATCATCTAATCTCTTCAAGATGTTTTTTTCTTATATTCTGCACTTCACCTTCATCAAATTTTGTTCCTTATCATTTATTACATATTTATTTACATTTACCTTTGACACAATTTTTCTTTTCGTTATAGTTTAATACGTTCTTCGAAACGTTTAAATCTGAGTTCAAATATGACTTGCACTTCTTACAACATCAATTTGTTGTTCACAAATAGCTTACAAGTTCTTAGAGACACATTATGATGTTGAGCGTGTCAATTTTTCTTCACAGCTTTAAGCTAAGATATTAAAGAAATCTTTAAGAAGCAAGAAACTCACTTCAGCACAATCAAAATTGTTATTTTTTTTTAAATATGCAATCTTTCGTTACACGACTCGCGATACAGATTCCGTAAAGAGTGCACGATGTCTCGTGATACAATACGCAACGAGACAACTAGTACAGAAATGAGAGCGGAGGAAGAATAGAAGATACGACGTGTTCACTTTATGAGTGAACTTAAACGATGCTCCTTAATAGAAGATCGATAAGTAAACGTTTGAGATCTCTTTTGCGACTATATCGACTAGAATGACTTTCCGATTTCTAGTACGCGGCAAAATAAAAGGGGCAAAACGGTCACATAGTTAAAGAGGAAATAGCAAAGCGACAATCACGATCGAGAAATGCATAGATCATAGATTCTTGCTTCACCATTTGTCAGCCTCGTTGCTGTCTTCGTGCTCCAATGAGGAGTTCAATGAGCGCTGAAACTCATGCACTCTCTGACTCTGTTGCTCGTGATGCAGTTTCCGCCACTTGATGCGGCGATTCTGGAACCAGACCTTGACTTGGGCCTCCGTCAACCGAAGCGCGTGAGCCAGGTACAGTCTCTCGGGCCCCACCATATATTGCTGACGCGCGAATTCGCCTTCCAGGCGTTCCAGCTGCTCCGCCGTGAAGATCGTTCTCACCCTCTTCACTTTACCACCCCCACCGGAACTAGAACTCGAACTATTGTTCTTCGTCGAACCTTCCTGACCTGCAAACATGAGAAACCGACATGAAGGATTTCTTTCAATGGAGTTAAAGCGTTTTATAACCCAAATGTTGTCGCTAAATGTTGACGCAATTTTTTCTCTTCTCTTTTGCAAAGAAGCTAATTTTGAGTAACGACAAAAAAGTAGATGGATGCCTCGTAAAAAATGTAAAGAAATATTAAGAGATTTATAAAAAAGATTACTATCTTGTAACTAACTTTTCTATATGCGTCATTCCGTTGAAAAACCAAGAATTGAAAAGTCAAGAATAATTACGCAACACAGTGATTCGAAAGTATGGGATACCTTGAACGTAATTATGGGATCCTAAATACCATTTTTCCGGTTTGGAAAATTTAGATATTTGACACTTGCGTTTCAAGAAAAACGGAAATTTGACTGAAGTCAGCTACAAGTTCTAGCTGGACATGTATACAATTCACGATAGAAGCGTTTCGGTTTTTGTTTTATACTTAATAATCGAACGAGTTACATAGAGTGGCTTATTAAAAATAATAAGTAGTTAAATTTAAATGTCAAATATCAAAAAACTAACAGCTTAAACATCTTTTTCGCTTACTGCTACTTCTAACTTATTTTTAGGATATTTATTACCGTAGATCATGTTATCATAAATAAATGATTTGGTATAATAATTAAATACAAGATACGGGTAGAAAAAGTTAGGTAAATTCTGAAAAAAGCGCAAAACTCAATATTCCATAAGAAAAGAAGCATTGCACAATTAATTAATTCGTATTCACGATACTCTTTTATAAATCACGTTAAATTATACGTCAACAGAGCAAATATAGTCAACGGTAACTAGCACTGAACGAACTATACTAATGCTAAACATGATAAATACCTTGGTGTTTCCTGTACTGTTGCTGTTGACTCCGTTTTTCTCGCTGATTATTCCTCAGACCCAGAATTGCGTCGATGGTGAAGGACTTGGCTTGTTGTTGTTGCTGTTGCTGAGAATGCTGCATGTGCGTGATAGAGTGTGAGTGCGGTACTTGTGTCGACAGGTTTTGCGCGGACAGCTCCGTGCCCAGCAAATGCGAGCGTCTCATGCGTTCCAAGGCTATGGCCTCGAGATCGGGGTTCCTCGGTTGCACTTGCAAGTTTCTGAATTCCTTATGCTCCAGTACACCCGGATTCTCCAGCAGACCGGCACCACCGCGCAATCTCTCGAGTGCCAGGCTGCTGATGTGATTGTCCCTCATTCTGTCCAGAGAAAAATTGAACTCCTTCATACGATCGAGACTGTAGTTTTTGAGCAGACTAAAGTCCTTCATCTCTTTGTCCACCACGAAATTGAGGTCCTTACTGTACCTGTCCAAGGAGGACAACGACGCGTGAGGGTTCCTTTGCTTGGCCTCGCGCAAATTAAACAGCACGTTCTTGGTAGAGTTTTTGGATCTGCAAAGCGTCGTCGCCGTCGCATCCGCCGATTCCTCGCTCTCGTTCGACCGGTCCAACGGATAGTTGATCTCGCTCAAATTATTAGCGGAATAACCGTAATCTTTGGCCTTGTTCAGTGGCATTGTTAGGTTTCTCGCCGAGTTCTCGCACGGAAACTCGTCGAATCGGATAGACGTCCTGCCGCTGCCGCCGTTGCTTTCGAGACTAAGATGAAAGTCCTTTGGCTCCGTCGATGCATCTTCTTTGGTTTTGTCGATAGATAGATTCAGTTCTTTAATGCGCTCGTAACTTTGAAACGCTTTTAATTGAGATTCCGAGTGGCTGCTGTCACTTATGCAATCTGACAAGTCCTCTGCTGTTAATCTACCCGACGGATCGTTCGTCTCCATCGTAATTCGTGATTTTACCGCGATATTCAACGCACGCTAATATTACGGATAATATCGTCCACACATTCAGCCGTCGGGAAACCGTTGACCGGTTTCTATACTAACCGCTATACTGTGGATAATGTATTGATTTAATCTCAAAGACAACGGTTGATTTCACGATGAAAGGATCACAGTGAACAGTTGAATTCCTTCGAAGATCGTATAATACTTAATTAGCACAAATACATGTTGCGAAATCCTTTCCGCAGAAACAGCAACCGCCCGATTATCAGTTTTTCTTCTTCACCATAATCAACAGTTTCATTCGTCACTATCGTAGAGATTGTCATCCATAGTTTCTCGCGACGCACTACATCAGGGTCAAGAGTTATTAAATAACCATCACAGTCGCGCTTATCCTCGCGCAAATGTCATACCGTCGCACACTGTCACGATTCTCACGGATCTTTTCAAGCAAGTTCACTGGTCAACGACGGACGTCGCGCGAATTGCCGGCAGACAAATGAGGAACATAAGGAGAACGAAAGCGAAGAGGCAACAGGAGCGCGAGAAGAAAACGCAGCGGTGCCGAAGGAGCGCACTACGAAGGCGCCTGCGACGAGGTATGGTCGAACCGCGTTGGCGCTTCGAAGCATCCAAGGATAATGATGTCAAGCACGAGGATCACCGCTATCAGATAGGGTTGGCCAGCGGGACCAAGGATATCCAGCTAATGATCCCGTACGTGACGAGGAGGGTATTCACCCGCCGCTTCGTACTCATCCGCCCGCCACCCCTGACAATCAGTCGACCGTTGCATTTCACCTCCGCAACCCCCAAATGGACCGCAGGATATCCCCTCATACGGTCAATATTTTTTCATTCGACGAGGGAAGGCCGGGGTGCGCGCCGCCAGTGGATTCTGGTTGGCCGGATCCTGCCATCACCCCTTCGTCAGGACACGCCTCCAGCGAGCACCGTGGGGGTTATTTGCGGGGAGTCTGTTACTTTTTTCTACCCTCTATCTCGAACCATCCAGCCAGCATCCACCGCCGCCGGCTCGCAACCCGTTCTTCCCTCGTCGTCGTTCCGCGAACGCTCCCCTGTCCTCTCCCGGGTACCCCATTAATAAGCTTTCACCTAGACCGACGTAGCTCACTTCAAGATGCTTGCACCGACACTACCCGGCTTGCTGGAAGGCGTACCTGCGGTGGTGAAGATGAGCGCTTGCGTCGGCGGTAGTTAGCGCCTCGCTTCGGCCGCTCGTCAGCGATGTCATCCGCGTCTAAGGCCTTCCGTTAATTAGGTCCTAATGATGATGAGGTAGTTTAATTTTGTTCGTATGATCTTTCTTACCTCGTCTTGGATTGAGATAGTCTTCAACGTCGAAGAGTTCACTGGCTATGGATTATTGAGAGGAATTTCGCGCAATTTATCTTGCGAAATTTCGCGCTGACTCGGGAAATTCTTGAGCTAATTACACGAAGAGACGTTGGCTAATATTATAATGAATATAAATTAGTTTTAGAAAATAATTGTGTGGGAGACTTTCACCGTATTCCTTGACAGGATCCTTGTGAATACGACACATCATGTACGCAAATAATAAAAATAAGCCGCAAATCACATCATGCACGTTCGTAATCCTTTTCCATAAGAAATTTACATTTGACCAACTTTGCTAAAACAGTAATTTTATAAAAAAGAAAGAGGAAAAACTTTACTTATATTTCTCCTTAAAATAAAGTATTTTTCTAGATTCTGAGAGATGTCAATTAAAAATAAAGATTATAATCTTCAGATATCGAAAAAAAATATTTGTAAAAGCAATCTATGTATTCATTTGCTTTTACATAATTTAATTAAAACTAGCCCGTCAGTAAGATAGTAACAGTCGTTATTAACATATTCTAAAGATCTCGAGATAAATAGGTCCTCCTTAATTGTCTCATGCCAATCTGAAACTTCATCCACAATCCCCTCATTAGACGTTGACGGGTATGCGGGAATTTCAGTACCTTGGAAAACCTCTAAGGAGGTTAAGCGCAAGGGCAAGAGCTTAATTACGTCAAGGTTTTACATCATATTGACTATTCTTGTACACATGTCCCTATCCTATTAGCCATTACAATAAAATATTTTAACGATACAGCGATAAAAGAATTAATTGGTTTTCTGATGTGGAGGGATAGATGGAATGGAAGGACGAGAATAAATGTACTGTTATATTAAAAAGATATAAAAATTGTTTAATGGTCGACTCAGATAAAAAAGATACGTATATGTGTAACTCTATCTTATTATTAATAAAAACACACAATACATGCGATTAATAAATACTTATTCTCTACCTTTCACATTGTAGGCGTGCACGTGAATAACATCCCTGATAAAAGTTTTACCCTCGAGAAGCCATTATGAAGTTAAGATTGAGCTATAAATTCCAAATTTACTTAAGCCACTCTCTAACTATTTCACAAACCTATGAACAACGGTTCTACGTAATTGCATCGTATATTTCTTACTGCACAAACTCTCTTATAAACTTTCGTCAATAATTTCAGTGGTCAATAATCTGACTTTTTCGAATCATTCTAGTGAAAAATATATATAATTCATCATTATATGAGTGTTAAAGAAATATACTATCTATTTCTAATGTTGCATTAAATCATAATTAATATACTTTGCGTAACAACCCTTCCTCCAAAAATGAAAAAATCATGAAAGATCTTTGGGAAAGAAAGTGTACATTACCCGGTTAACTTCTCCGCTGCCTTATTTGCATGTCGCTCCCTAGTTTGATAATTCAGCTTTCGGATAAGGAGGTTCTCCAAGGGAGGGACAGGGCCGAATGAAATTGGCGACAAATGTATAAATTAAATGGTAGCCTGCGCCGTAAAGGGGCTCCGAAAGAATTTCTATTGAAGCTCGATACCCCCGTTCTCCCATCCTCTTGATCGCCGCCCAAATGACTTGCGACTCACCCTTATTACGACCTGAAATTTATCACGGAAATTTCGTGGAGTATTTTATCCGGATAATTGCTCCGCTTTATAAGAGCCACCCTTACAAGCCAATATATAAGACAAAGACGATCCGACGAGACTTCTATTCGCTTCAGCGATTCTGGTTCGATGCGCAGACTAAAAGCTTGACTAGATAAATCCAATCAAAGAAAATTTTCTCAATACGTATTTCACAAAGCTATTCGTTATTATAGATAAAAATTTTTGGAAAACTTTGGAGACTCGAAATATCAATTTTTACCACAGAAATTTTGTAACTAATGCTATGTGAAGATCAAAGAATCTTCACATAGAGAAAAATCTAATTTTCCGAAAAATGCGAAAAAGGAAGCAAGTTATTTATATACAGTGAGGAAGCAAGTTATTTATATACAGTGAGAGTATAGGTAAAGTAGTTAATTTAAAAAATATTTGAATATTAATAATAGAGACCAATTGAATATAGTTGATACTATTTCGTAAATGCATTATAATTTGCACTCCGTTAACAATTTCAAAAAGCAAACCTCGCACTCGAAAATATCATTGTCCGACTGCTGACAATCGGAATTGACTCTCGTGTCTATAAAGTCCTCACGTCGTCGTTATCAATCGCCGTTCGGGACGGTAAATCTATCAAGCGGAGAATCGTGTCGATCGTCCGATCCATGATATTTGCGGGACGCGGCGTGGAAGATCATTAACTAACTAAATATCAATTTCGACGGTAAATAGTAACCGCTGCTATCTATTGTTTCCAAATTGAATCTGTATCGGCGATGATCTACGGCTCGGTCGTGTGTGTTCGCCGCTATACGAGCGTTCGTGCGCACGTAAAATTCGCGAACGCATAGACCCGTACGCACCCCTGTACGCCACCCTCCCCCAACCCCGGACAGTCCAGGAACGTGGGTATTGCGATCGACACATACAAAGCAGTCTCTCTCCCTTCCTGGACTCTACAGCATTCTGCTGCCTTACAACCCACGTTACCATCACCCTCTCACCCTGCCCCTTTATCTTGCCTTGATTCCCCTTTCCGCCTTCACCTCCTCCTCTTCCTCCTCGTCCTCGTCCTCGTCCTCGTCCTCCTCCTCTTCCTCCTCCTCCTCCTCCTCCTTCTTCTCCTCCTCCTCCTCCTCCTCCTCCGGCTTTCATTCCACATGCGATATTAAAGCCAAGGCAATTAGCGGTGGGGGTTGTTGCGAGGGATGGCGAGGGAGTGCGACAGTTTCAGCCAGGGTTTCGCAGTCATCCCCCTGGTGGGGCTGTCTCGGATATGATTGGCTGTCAGCGGGGGTTAATCCCTGGGCCCGGCCACACCCCGGCATGTCTCAATCCACCTCCGTGAATCCGGCCGGCCGAGCTTTCCACCCGGAATCCGCTGAAAACGAGGGTGAAAACGCGAGCGGCGAGGATGTACCGGATGTTGCTGGAGCGCGGGGTGGGTCGAGCTCCTTAAGCGTGAAGGAGATAATCTCGGGCAGATGATAGCGTCATCGGGCAAGAAAGACGGTAAGCGTGTGCTCGTTTTTAATGATGTAGTAGTTAAGGTTTCATTACGCGGATGAAAATTATGCACCATTTCACGAAGAACTGCGTGAGAGAACGACGAAGAGGGGATTGTTCGTTCTGGAATTATTCAGAAACACGAATAGAATAAACATCACGCAGTAATTGGCCACTTAAGGAATACTTGCGTCGTGGATGATTAATATGACTCTTTCGTGTATATCTGTAGCTAAATATGAGTCAAATGTCCATATAATTCAAAATTGGATTTTCAATCAACTAATCAACACAAGTTTACAGTTATTAGATGCTTTATCACAAAAAATGCTATCATTAATTTAATTTTTCCTGAAAGCATAAAGATTTTATCGCTTGGAGACATTAAAAAACTTAATTATAAAAAAAATAGACTTTGGAAAGAGAGATTTTTAAATTTTCGCGATAATTCGCGATAACTGTTCAAATATAAAGGGGGATATATTACTTTTGAACTATGGTGCGGCTTTTCATAAGTCGTGAAACTCAGTAACGAGCAGATACAGCGTAATTTAGATGAAAACCAAACAAAGTTTAGAACTTTCATCAACTGAAGAGTATGGTAATAAAAATTCTGTACCAGACAAAGCGAGAAAAAAGGGAAGTATAGATAGAGCTTGATGAGAAGGAGTGAAAAGAAGCGGTAACAGATAGCGATACAGTAGATTATAAAGGAAAACTTTTCTCGCGAAATTAAATGTTTGTTAATTAATTAATATTTATTGCCACGCATTGAACATTTGTTAATATGTTTATTTAACAAGCAATATCAATTAATATGCAATTATATGTTTTGATGTCATTCATTGAACGTTGTACGTTGAGATGTATTACGATTAAAAAATATATCGCATTGCAAATTATATTAAAACATCTGAAATAATGTTTCTATTTCTGGTAATATCGGGCAATTTTATTGGAAACTTCTCATGTAATTGCCCATAACGTAACCATTGTGTCCATTCTTTTGTTACATTCGAGGCGTGCAATTAATTTCTGTGTACCGATGTGTACAGCACGAACGCAATTATATCCTTCTATACAGGTGGATTTTATTTTCTTGCATAACAACGCGATACTCGCCGCATCGCGTTGTCAGTAACCAAGTGTTAGCGCGACGCGTAAGATCGATTTCCCGACATTCTCGCCTATTTTTTGCTCTGGGAGCGCTCATGTAAAATAACGCGGAACATCGTGGACAAGTACCTCATTCTTTGGTCAGCAACCGATTTTATTCGCTAAATGCCTTCCTTAGTGTTTTGGAAACGCATCGATGAACGAAACCATGGAAGACTTCATGACAGGCCAGAAAAATCGATTCGGGTACTGCTTCATCTGTCTAGTGTAGAGTAAGTACAATATATTAAGTTATTTTTTTATATCTTTTATTTTAAAAAAATTACTTGCTACACACACGCCGATAAAATAAATTTATTCTCGTCATAATTAAAAAAAATAGTCAAATAATTTTTATAATAGCCAAAATTATATAAGTTCATCTTAAATACTATTTACTGATCATACACGATATAATTCGTAGCATCACTTGTACTGTATATCTAACTTCTTACGTTATGTATTCTATGTGCGTGGGTCATCTTTTATAGGTTCAAGTAAGGTTAATTAAATTTCTCCGTAACAACCATAAGTGCGATAGTAGCTTGAATCCTTGCGCGGTTTCATGAATACGATTAATACTCACTTTCCGTGAAATACGTCTGAGCCTATTATAATAATTACCTCCATATTTCCGTGCTGTATACTAACCGTATTATTACACGTGTATTGCTTCATTGGATTTGGATAAACTTAAAACAATGTAAATTTAGCATACAATATGTATGCGGAGTCTTTTGTTTTATTTATAGAATGGTTTACGACAATTAGTATATATATACGTATCAACTAAAAATTAAATAGAAGAATAAAAAGGAATCGAGAGAATATTAAAATTATTGTTATGTCACTTTTTTTATTTTAATGATTTTATTAATCCCTTTAGCACAAGATGTAAAAATAAAATACATAATACGTAATAATACATAAATATCACATTATACCGGAAACCGCAATATCACCAGCCTTGGGAATTCCCTTTATCTTATGCGCGATTATTTCGTGGGGATTTACTGTGATCTATTTTTACTGCACAGATTTTCTATACATAGAAATACATACTGCATTCAAATAAATATTACTTGTTTTAAGTGTTATATAAATTTATATATCTGCAAAGCTATCATAAGTTCGTTGTAAGTATCAAACTTATCCAAATTTGGATTCTAACAAGTTTAGCATTTTAATCAAGAATATTAAATTAAAACAAAATTTCTATTTGCTTACTACCTAAAAAATCGAACTAACCATTTCTTCGATAACTTATAATCTTATAATATTCTTATGAAGAGGATATATTTTTCTTTTGAATACATAATAATGAACTTTTTTAAAATTCATGACGAATATGAGACTATTATCAATAAAATATTGTATATTTGTTAAAGATAACTATTACTTAAAATAAGGAAAATAAACTGAGAAGTTGCTTTTCTTAGCAGCAGAATAATATCTTTGCGTACAGATAAAATCATTTTAGAAATATCTGTACAATATTCCTGAATATTATTATTCTGAACTGTATTATTTTGTAATATTAAATTTTACCGTGGTTTAACCACATATCAATATTATATTTTACCACATCTAATTATTATTATTACTTTGATGAAATAGAAACAAATTTTATATTATATAATATAAAATTTTATTTATGTAATATAATTTAAAATAGCCTTTGTACTAAGACAATAATTTGTGTCGCTAAAGGTAATTTATATATTATTTCTTGAAGATTTCTCTCTCTGGAAAGAGAGAGTAAAAGGTACTTGGCATAGAAAAATATTAGTACTAAAGAAGTACTACATTAAATGATAAATATTTGAATACCATTGTTTCATACTATCTAATAAGAAATCTAAATCCATAGACTCATACACCCCTCCTCTTAATACACGCGTACACAATCGGCCGGGTATCCCCGGTTAGCGAGCGTGGGTACTTGCTAGACTGGAGAGTGTTCAGTGCCACTTTTTCCTTCGTAGGGGTCGCATACTGGATGAACAACGTTAGTCGAGCGATCCCAAGTGTTATGACGTTATTAAATCGTATAATACCGTGCAGTTGCAAATTATCATAAAGTAACGCCGATACGAAGATTATCGATGTCTCATGTGTCAAAATAGTACATGTGCCTGTATAAGTGTGCATCAGAAGTTCAGACTTGAGAAGACATTCGTGTAATAGAGAACTGTAAAGATGCATTAGTGAAAGTAATTCGTAATTCACGATCAAACTGCAGCGATTTTAATCATGTTGGCGAATACTGGAAAGTTACGATTTTACCGTAAAAAACATCTTACCGAAAATCAATCGAAGGAACTCTCGAAGAATATAGTGAACACAGAACGAATAAAAATATCGGTTAACGTCTGTAAGGAAGAATATTTAACAAACAAAAATCTATCGATTATGACTGACACCCAGCTCAGTCCAGATGTCGTGGACAATGTTAGTCTGAGAGAGAAGAAACATAACACTGCCGAAACATCAAATTCATCTCCTAATACGGATTCGCAAGACTCATACATCCTGATATCGACTGAAGAGATGCCTGTTAAATTAAAAGATATAAACTGGGAGTATGTAGATTACGACGATATCGCTGAACATGTGAGAAGTGATTGTGCCATGAAGAAATATTGCAGCCCTAGATGTAGCACAGCTTGGCTTTTAAAAATTCGCCGCGAAATTTTGAAAAATTGTCGCCGAAAAATTTATCCTCTAGCAATTAATGGGTGAGTGTAACATGTCTTTCATATAAAATCTCTTTTTGGTAACTAAAACTATTCATGAATATCTATGGAACAAATATTTCTCTCTCTCTCTCTCTCTCTCTCTCTCTCTCTCTCTCTCTCTCTCTCTCTCTCTCTCTCT